GTATATTCTTTTCAGAGAAATGTTGCTTTATGTCGTTTGAGTTTTGAGTGTTCTTTATATATTCTGGACATGAGTCCTTTGTCAAATATGTGATCTGAAAATATTTCCGTTAAGTTTGTACTTGTCTTTTCACTCTCTTGATAGAGTTTTTCACAGAAATGCTTTTAATTTTGATAATGTTCAATCTATCTGTTTTTTTTTCTTTCATGGGCCATGCTTTTGACATCATTTCTAAGAATTCTTCACCAAGCACTGGGTCCTAAAGCTTTTCTTTTATGTTTTCTTCCAAAGTTTTATGTTTAAATCTGTGATCCATTTTGAGTTAATTTTTGTACAAGGTGTGAAGTTTAAATTCAGGGTGTTTTTTTTGTTTGTTTGTTTTGGTTTTGGCTTTGCCTATTGATATCTAATTGCTCCAGCATTATTCGTGGAAAATGCAATGCTTTTGCACAATTGTGAGAAATCAGTTGGTCATAATTGTTGGTTATTTCTGGGTTCTTTATTCTGTTCCATTGATCTGTGTATCTATCCTGCCACAGAAACCACACAGTCTTGTTTACTATAGTGATATTACAAGTCTTGCAATCAGGGAGTCTGATTCCTTCCACTTTATTGTTCTTTTTCATAATTGTTTAGCTATTCTATCCTTTGCCTTTCCGTTTAAATTTGAAAATAGTCTTGTCTATATCTACAAGAATCTTGCTGGGGTTTTTATAGGAATTACATTAAACCTGTATATTACCTTGGGTAGAATTGACTTTTTTTTTTCTTCTTGAGTGAATCTTTTATTTTTTAACTCATATTAGAATTTATTTTTTAAGATATTGTTTTTGTAATTTAAAAATGTTTTTTCAGTTATAGTTGACATTCAGTATTATTTATGTTAGCTAGTTTCAGGTATACAGCATAGTGGTTAGACATTTATATAATTTATGCAGGGATCTCTCCAATAAGTCTAGCACCCACCTGGTACTATACATAGTTATTACAATATTATTGACTATATTCTCTACACTGTACTTTAAATCCCCATGACTATTTTGTAACTGCCAATTTGTACTTCTTAATTCCTTCACTTTTTTCACCCAGCCCCCAACCCCCATTCCATCTGGTAACCATCAGTTTGTTCTCTGTCTGTAAGTCTGTTTCTGTTTTGTTTGTTCATTTATTTTTGTTCTTATGATTCCACGTATAAGTGAGATCATATGCTTTTGTTGTTCTGTGTGACTTATTTCACTTAGCATAATACTCTAAGTCCATCCACGTTTTTGCAAATGGTAAGATTTCATTCTTTTTTATGGCCAAGTAATATTCCATTGTATATATGTACCACATCTTCTTTACCCAATCATCTATTGATGGACATTTCAGTTGCTTCCATATCTTGGCTATTGTAAATAATGCTGCAGTGAACATAGGGGTGCATATATCTTTTCAAATTAGTCTTTTGGATTTTTTTTCTGATAAATGTCCAGGAGTGGAATTGCTGGGTCATAAGGTAGTTCCATTTTTAATTTTTTGAGGAACCACCAAACTGTTTGCAGTCCCACCAACAGTGCATGAGGTTTCCTTTTTTTTCATCCACATCTTCACCTATACTTGTTTTTTGATTTATTGACGATAGCCATTCTGACAGGTGTGAGGTGGTATCTCATTTTGGTTTTAATTTGCATTTCTCTGATGATTAGTGATGATGAACATCTTTTCATATATCTATTGGCCATGTATATATCTTCTTTGGAGAAATGTCTATTCAGGTTCTCTGCCTATTTTTCAATTGGATTGTTTGGTTTTTTGGTGTTGAGTAGTATGATTTCTTTATAAATTTTGGATGTTAACCCCTTATCAGATGTATAATCAACAAATAATCTGCTCCCATTCAGTAGGATGTGTTTTCATTTTGTTGATGGTTTCCTTTGCTGTGAAAAAAATTGTAATTTGATGCAATCCCATTCATTTATCTTTTTATTTTATTTTCTTTACCTGAGGAGATAAATCAGAAAAACATATTACTAAGGGCAATGTTAGGGAGTTTACTACCTATGTTTTTTTCTAGAGCTTTATGGCTTCAGGTCTTTATATTTAAGTCTTTAAACCATTTTGAGTTTATTCTTGTATATAGAGTAAGAAAGTAGTGCAGTTTCTTTTTGTTTCTTTTTTTTTTATGTATCTGTCTAGTTTTCTCACCACCATTTATTGAACAGACGGTATTTACTCCACTGTATATTCTTGCCTCCTTTGTCATAGATTAAATGACCATATAGATGTGAGTTTATTTCTGGGCTTTCTGTCCTGTTCCATTGATCTCTGTGTCTGTTTTTATGCCAGTACCATGCTGTTTTGATTACTGTGGCCTTATAGTATAGTTTGATATCAGGTAGCATGATACTTCCAGCTTTGTTTTTCTTTCTCAAGATCGCTGTGGCTATTTGGGGTCTTTTATGGTTCATATAAATTTTAGGATTATTTGTCTTAGTTCTATGAAAAATGCCTTGATATTTTAATAGGGATTGCATTGAATCTATAATTTGGTTTTCTATCCATGAGCATGGTATATGCTTCCATTTATTTGTGTCTTCTTCAGTTTCTTTCTTGAATGTTTTACAATTTTTTGAGTACAGGTATTTTATCTCCTTGGATAAATTTATTCCTAGGTATTGGGTTGTCAAAAAAGTCATGACGCATTTTTGCAATGAAAAACAGAAAAAATACGTCATGACTTTTCTGACAAACCAATATTTTAATTTTTGATACAATTATAAATGGGATTGTTTTCTTTATTTCTCTTTCTGATAGTTTGTTATTGATGTATAAAAATGCAAATGATTTCTGAATATTAATTTTGTATCCTACTTTACTGAATTCATATATTAGATATAAGTTCTAATAGTTTTTGGTGGAATATTTGATATTCTCTCTATATAATATCATGTCACCTGCAAATAATGACATTTTACTTCTTCTTTTCCAATTTGGATGCCTTTTATTTCTTTTTCTTGTCTGATTGCTGTGACTAGGACTTTCAGAAAATTGACTTCTTTACTCTGTTGAGTCTTTCATCCATGATCACGGTATGTCTCTCTCCTTTTTAGATCTTCTTTGATTTCTTTCATCAGCATTGTGTCATTTTCAGCATATAAGTCCTGGACTTGTTTTGTTATATTTATATCTATATATTTTTATATATTTCTATAAACCAACCATTAGTTCATTTATATTTATGTATTTATATATTTCATTTTTAGTGATTGTAAATGGCAGTGTATTTTCGTTTCAACTTCCATGTTCGTTGCCAGCATATAGAAATTCAGTTGGTTTTTGTATGTTGATGTTGTATCCTATGACCTTGCTGAACTTGCTTTTCAGTTCTAGAAGTTTTTTGTAGATTCCTTGGGATTTTCTATATAGATTATCATGTCATCTACAAATAAGAATGGTTTTATTTCTTCTTTTTCAATCTATATGCCGTTTATTTATTTTTCTAGTTTATTGAATTGTCTAGAATTTCCAATGCTACATTGAATTACAGTGATGGGAACAGATATCCTTACCTTTTTCCTAATCTTAAGGGAAGCATTTCAGTCTTCCTCCATTATGTATGATGTTACCAATAGGTTTTTTTGTAGATGCTCTTTATCAAGTTTAGGAGGTTAGTTTTTCTCTATTACTAGTTTTTTGAGAGTTTCTGTCATGATGGGTGTTGAATTTTATCAGATGCCCTTTCTGTCTCAATTGATACGAGATGTGACTTTTGTTCTTTAGCCTATTAATATAGTGAATTACATTGATTGATTTTTGAATGTTGAACCAGACTTACATTCCTGTATAAAACATCACTTGGCCATAATTTTTTTATATATTGCTAAATTCTATTTGCTCATATTTTGTTAAGAATTTTTATTTCTATATTCATGAGGGATATCAGCCTGTAGTTTTCTTTTTTGTTCTGTCTACATCTCATTTTTGTATAATATCTTTTTGTATTCTTTTGAATATATATTTATGTTATTTATGGAAGCAATGGACTACTTCAAATATGAAAAAAGTAAATAACTTTGCAGTAAAACATTAAACTCAGTCTAAAACATTACTTTATATAAATAAGACTTCATTTTTAAGTAAACATTTACATTTGTAATTATTTTTTCCATTAAACATGATCAAAAATATTTTCCCCATCAAACATCATCAAAAATCATCAAAATTCTATTTTTAGATAAATAAGATTGTCTTAGAACATAAATTATATCAATATATTACTGGTTGAAGAGGACTTTTTACCAAGTAGCTTAATAAAATCTTAGGAAATATATAAGTGCTTCTCAAGTAAAAGTTATTTAAGGTCAGTTTCTTAGTTATAGCACAGGCAACTTTTGTTTCAAAATTTGTTTGAACACATGCCTTCTTGTCCTTTATCTCAGGATTTGCCAGTTTTGTATACATCACATAAAATCAAAGTTGGTGTCATTAAACTGAGATCTTTTGCCATTAATAAAGAATTATAGTGTGGATCCATGTTTATGATTCATAGTATGTTGACTGTGTATGTTATATTTATAATGAGTCATATATATAAATTATGCACCTACTCATAAAAGTATACATATATAGTATGTGTGTGTGTGTGTGTGTGTGTGTAACATTAAAAAAAACACTTCTTGCCTTTAAAGAAGTGTATGAGTAAAACCCAAGTGGATGCCTAAAACTATCTTTTCCTGGTAAATTTTTAAACCTAGTTTATAAGTGACAACTTAAATTAAGATGTAAATCATGACTATATATTACTGACATGAACAAAAGCTATCTGAAGTGATTATTTTTGAGCATCCATGACATTACCTTGACAATCTAAAATGAATATAACATCATTTATATCATCAGTTTTCTTATAGCTGTATGAAATAAAATGTGGTTTACAACATATGTTGATGAATGTTTCTACCTGCAGTTCTTAGAGCAGGCATAGCTTCTCTTATTTCAACTTTGTTCTAATTTTACAGGATTCAAGCCAAAACTCGAGAATTCAGAGAGCGACAAGCTCGAGAACGTGACTATGCTGAAATCCAAGACTTTCATCGGACGCTTGGCTGTGATGATGAGTTGATGTACGGGGGAATTTCTTCCTATGAGGGTTCCATGGCTCTCAACGCCAGACCCCAGAGCCCAAGAGAAGGACATATGATGGATGCTTTGTATGCCCAAGTAAAGAAGCCGCGGAATTCCAAATCTTCACCTGTAGACAGGTAGGCTCCAGGAGGAATCTGGGGATTGCTTCCAAATCAACTGTTATGTAGTTTTTGACAAGGGAGTAGATTGTTCATCAGTCCTCAAACCAGAACTGTCTTTCATTAACAGCCTTTAAAAAAGTTGTTGTGTCTAAAAGTATTGAGTTTACACAAATTGAAGCCTAAGGGAAGGAGGGAGCAGCAGAGGTTTTGATAGTTTTTCTAATGATTCCAACAGATTCATCTTGTTCTTAGAATGGTCTTAGACTGGAGAACTAACCTATATTGAGTTTATAACTCACATAAAAAGCAAACTTGAAATTATGGCTGTTCTACTTAAGCCGTATTTCCTTTTATTACTAGGAAAGCCTCTAGTTGTGGTAATTAAATAGATGTTTAATGACATGATTTGTTCTAATTATGATTTATTTAGAAGTACCACTTTTTTTGGCGACATGATTTAATATTACGAAAAATTGTGAATGAGATGTACAGTAGAGCCAGTCTTCGACTTGCTTGTTAATAGCCACAGACCACAGGTCTGATTGTGTATCTGTAGGGCTCTAAGTAGTGCAGTGTTGATTGTATGTTAATGGCTATATATTTATTTCAAATTTTAGCTGAAACAATTTAAAAATAGATCTTTTTCCACCCCTTCATCTATATATCCAAACACTGTATAAAGTTTAGTTCATGAAGAAAACAATACTCATTTCTTTTTATTTGAAACATGCATGTTATTGTCATAAACAATACAATAATCCCATCACATCTTATAATGGTTTCTTGTCATTGTTGCTCTGTAGGGGAGCTGGGCTTTGAACATTAAAAATATCAAATTTCACTTAAAACTAGCGGTTATCAGGCTGCCGAGTGGTGTGTTGGTTAAGAATTGGTTTGGGAGCACCAGCTCTGAGCAGCAGGGCCCCGGTTCGGATCCCACATGAGGTCCAGTGATGCTGCACTCTACAGCTAAGATGGTGAACAACAGCTCGACCTGGAGCTGGGCTGCTGTGAGTCGCCGGCAAAGGCATAGGCTGCGGTGGGGCTGGTCAGCGGGTGTGTGCTTTCGTGAGCCACAGTGAGTGGCCGTCCAATGGCTGGAGAGCAGCTGCCTCACCCAGGAAGAGCACAATGATAATACCAACATAGGCCACTGAAGCGATGACAACTAGACTGAAGAACAAAAGGACAACAACTTGTCTATTCTCCTTCCCAGGTTCCCCAATGCTGTTCCCCTCCCCCAATTCACCCATAACATCTTTTTAAAAACAACATCAACAACAACAAAACTAGCAGTTCTCAAGCTTTAGCATTCAACAGAATCACTTGGGGGACTTCTCTAAGCACAGGTTGATTAACCCAGATTTTGATTCAATTGGTCTGGAGTGGAGCCTGAGAATTTGCATTTCTAACAAGTCCCCATGTCTGGTGCTAGTATGACTGGCTACAGTACCCCTGCGAGACCAGACACGTACTGGAATTATTTCACCTATGGTACCCATGTGTTATCTGGCTGCTACATTTTGCAAGTAGTCTACGTTTTGGTAATTTACTGCCAGCTATCCAGCTATTTTTAGTAGAGGTTTGCAAATGCAACAGGTCACCCTCAGGCAAACCCATAAGGAAGCATTTTAAAGAACAGCAAAGGGAGAAGCAGATCATAAGGTAAAACACTAGAGTCAGATACTTGTTCTGTTTCCTCTTTTTGTTTGTTGTTGGGTTTTAGGTTTTGTTTATTGTTTTGTGAAAATCTGTTTGATGTTGAGTGTAATGAAGTGAGTAAGTTAACATAGGAGGCTTATGGTTTATTTCAAACTCCTTTGGTGTGATTACCTAGAAAGTTCACAGTACTTAGACTAACACAGATGTATCAGGATTCAAGGACTAGGATTGTCAGTGACAGTGACATTTTCTTAAAACATTTCTTACTGGGTTTTTGTTGCTTACAGAAGGTCAGATAGCATTTCGAGGCCATAAATGTCCCAATGAAAGTGTTTTCTTGGGAGAAAGGACAGCAGAAACACTGGTGTTGCCAGTTAGCAACTTTTGGAAAAACTAAAAGAAAATTAGTTAACGTGTTATGGATCATTAATCGTTTTCAGCACCTTCTACATCTCCTTTGAAAATCTAAAACAAAAAATGTGCTTATTGAAGTTGTTCACGTAGCTGAGAAGTCCTACCTGACGTGAGAGATGATAGTCAGAAGGGATCTTTCCAGCTCCTGAGGTCCAGAAATGGTCATTTAAACCCCAGTTTAAACCATAGTGTCCTGCAGGAGTCTAAATCTCTCCTAAAGATTTGTGCCAGTTTTCAAGAGGGCTTACCTGCTTAGAGCCCCATCTGCTACTAGGCTCCAGCATCCTGCCTACAACTCGACTCTGCACCATGCTGAACTCACCGTGAACTCAGCCTCCTCACTAATTTCCATCAAAAACCCACTCAGCATTGAAACATTAAAAAAAAAAAAAAAAGCTGTCAGCAAAACACTCCAGATAAGAGTTAAGTCATGGGAATGAGTCACAGCAAGCAGGGAACAGCTCAAAATCACATCGCAGACATCACTGTATTCGGAACGCCCATCAGCCTCACGCAGGCACAGCCTAGATGGCTTCTGTTGCGGACTGGACAGTTCTGTGCACTTGTGCCCCCAAAGGATGATGGGACTAGAGCACTTCCAACTCAAGAGAGAGATCATTTATTTTTTTAGAAAAAGGGTCACAGAAACCTAAGTTTGGGTTTTTGTGATTTTTTTGTGCAGAGTGTAAGATGTCCATTAAACAATGATATTACCAATCCAAAAAGTTGGGACTTGTCGCTTCTGTGAAGAACTTCACCAACCAGGAATTAAATATGAATTTGGCTTAGAAATAATGGCATCACCTCTGTTGTCATTTTTTTTTTTTTGTCCAAGAGAAAGCTGTAGAAAAGTGTTTCTCAGACTTGAGTAGTGTAGAGACTCTTTTTAAAGGACAATCTCTTGATACTGCAGTACGGAATTAAATTGTTTTGAGTATAGTGTTATTTAAATATGTATAAAAATAAAATAGGACTAAACTCCTTCTGTTTACAGCCATTATACAAATATAAAACCAAACATCTTTACAAATTAAACACAAACAAAACAGCAAAGCCATTACATTCAAATGAATAACGTTAATTTAATGTGGCTGATAAATTTTTGTTTTTCATCTAAACTCTTGCACAAATCATGAATATGGTGGTGGCTGCTCCGTGATAGGTTCATTTGAGTCTCTTTGCTGCCCCACAAGCCACCGGCTGACGCAGCTCACCCTTCATTTTTCTCAGTTAGATTTCTGCAGTTTTTGCTTGTCTGTCTCCAGTGGTCTTTGGCCTGTATGCCGCACTGATGCATCATTTATGCAGCAAGTCCACCTTGCTTCTGTTATCATTGATAGAAGTGAAAGTGAATAGACAGTGAAAGTAGCATTTCTTCGTGCCTTCATATCTGTAAACTTAAATTCAGACTGTGAAATAACACATTTATAAGATGACCTATAAAATGCTTCTATTAAATCTTTAAAAAAGAGCCATTCATATGGAAACATAAAACTTGAAACTCCTCACAGTATTTCCTGTATAAAGAATATACCCAATAAAGAAACCCTATCAACTAAGTGAATTTCACCAAAATTTGCAATAGGTGTCTGAAGAACTTTACTATTCAAAATTTTGGATTTCTTGGGAGTACAGGTAATCAGGCGACAGGCTGAAGATAGCCTATTTTCTCTCCTCCCTTACTTAATAGAATCCTACTTTTGTTCAGGCTGCAAATGTGCCCAGCTAAAAATTTCAATATCCCAGGTTCTCCTACAGTAAGAGGTGACCATGTAATGTTGTTCTGACTAATAAGTTAGAAATGGAGGTAGGATGGGGCTTCCTATAAAGCTCGTTTTTCCCTATGGATCTGACTCCGTTTTTTCCCTTTCGCATTTCCCTTCTTCCTTCCTGGAACTTGGATGAGTGCTCCAAGGTAGGGCTCATCTAGCAACCCTGTGGATGAAGGCCCCATGGAGGAAAAGGGAAACAGCCTGTTCTCTTGCACAGCTGTTACAGTCCTGGCCTGCCTCCCCTGGGTTCCTTGCTGTCTGTGGAACTGAGCCCCGTGCTTGTTTAAGTCACCCTCCATCAGGCTTCTGTTCCATGGAGCCAATGCCATTCTGAGGGTAGTGAATCGTGCACTCAGGAGCCCAAAGAGAATCATCCTTCTTAGAACAAAATTGTCTGCATGCTGGAGAAGTATCCCCTGGTCAAATCATTTCCACAGTATTTTGTAAAATTAAGCAATGTATAAAAGTTTCTATTGTCTCACGGTTAGCTCTTCCACCTTTCATTTTATTTAGCTTCCACTTAAAGAAATGTTATCAATCAAATGTTTGCTAGCATAGATCCTTCATTCCGATACACTAGTATCAGCAGGCAACTTCTACCGCTAGCAACAATTCTGATGTAAAATAGGAGGAAGTTGAGTATAATGTACAAGAGCATCAACTATGGAGGCACACGGCCTGAGTTTCATTCTGGGCTCTTCACCATTAGCCGTGTAAACTCTATGCTTCATTTTCCTCATCTGCAAAACGGGAATAATAATGGTACTTAGGAGCATTAGGGAGGACTAAGTCTGTTAGCACATACTCGTATAAAGCACTTAGCACTGTGCCTGGTCCACCATAAGCTCTATTTAAGTGTTTAATGTTGCTATTGTTAGTTAGGAAACGAGCGTTTACTCTCAGGAAAGCACAGCATCCCCACCTGGATGCAGAAACAGGCAAGGAACAAAATTGAAATGAATAAAGGTACGTTTTATTCCTTATTTTTAGCATGCATATAAAAGTGGGGGGATGCAATTCTACTGATACCTCTTCAGCTTGGTCTCTAAGTATTCGCCATAAGTCATGTCATCATATCATGAACAGTTTCTCGTTAAATTAGGACTTATTGAGTTCAGTATGAGACATCCCAGATTGCTTCTACAGTATAAATACTTGGAATTCTTT